GCATTGTAATCATTTAAAAAGTTAAAGTTGAGTAAACTTTAATTTTCTCATTCTTGTCAGATTGATCCCTTTACTTGAATTTTTGGTGAATAAGAAAAATTAGTTAGTTTCCATTGTTACAAATGTTTTAGCTGAAGGAATATTTTTAGCCAAAATTTCCGATATTTGAATAATGATGATAAAGTTTAAAAACAAGCATTATTGAGCCTAAATGTTTAAATTAAAGTTTCAATGTTTCAAATCTGTCATCAAATTAAACTGCGGTCTGAGATGACAATAAACTTAACTTATCTATTTTCATTTCAGGGCATTAGAAAACCTTTATCTCTTTTTTGTACCTGTAAGTACTCAACATGGGAACTACTATTTTTGCAAATGTCAAGTTGGATCTCCGCTTTTTTCCTTCTTTTCTGGCAAAATGATTTCATTGAGGGAAATGTAAAATAAAAGATATTAGGGCTTTGCATCTCTTAGCCAATCATATCTTTTCCCTTATCATGATAACAAAATGTTAATCTTTTGATTAAAATTGAAGCAAATGTTTAAGTAATACATAACAAATAGTTGCTAACAGTTATTTTTCACAAGATTTTTACGTTATCGTTAAGATGTTACAGAAGAATAGGATTTTAAAGCTCAATTTCTTAACTGAGTTATATGAAATTTTGTAAGACATTACTTTTGATACGACTATATGGTATAGTTATCCTTTAGAAGATAAATTATACAAATTGGTGTATACTTGTGGGAAGTTTCCTAATCTTTAATTTTTCCGATGAAGAAAACAAAAACACCTAATAGATAATTTCAATTCCCTTCTCATTTTATGATTATAAAAAAATTTGCAAATTTTTATAGCTCAAAAATTTTGATTTCTTTTTTTTTTGAGAACACTTCAATATTTTTTGAAAATCTTTTGAAAACACTTCAACATTTTTTTAAAAGGCAATAATTTTCAATTTAGAAAAACTTCGAACATAATTTGGGAAGTAATTGCATTTAGTTCAAGGCCTTCATTTACTTTACATGATATATTTATACTAGAGGATGCTTTCTAAAGCCTTAATAGGCTCTGTTGAATATGCTTAAATCATTTATTATTACTGTGGTTTTAATTATTGAAGGCGTACAGTAACAGTACCAGTGGAATACAGCTTCAAATATCCGTTTGAGAACACCCGAATGATCAAACTAAGATTATCAAGCTGTATGTTTATCTTTCATGAAAGATATCTAGAATAAATGATTTCATGATTTTTTTTTTCAATTATGAAAAAGGACAAGATAGATTCATATCATTTACTAGTATATCTAAATCTAATTTATTCGTTTAACTAATGAAATTATTTTGGAACTAATTTGTTAGATGTAATTTGGAGCATTACTTTTCTTATTTGTGACCTTACCTCTCTTCACAAGTGACTCACAAATGAATCATCTGTGTGTCACCTGTATATTTCTTATACCATATTGATATCATATACAACAGAGAGCCAAAGGAAAATAATAGAAAGGAAAATTGACTTTTTTGCGGATATGTCGCAGATATTTCATCAGGGATATGTTACAGGAATGAATTTTTCCTAAAAACAATGGGTTAGATGTTACCGCAACAAATTTCATGATGGTCCCACTCATCTAAATGTTAACTTCTTCTAGTTACAGATAAATATCCAATTGAAGACATCGTCTATTTGTGGGCGAATTCACCGCCAACAGTGATACCGGTTGAAGTATCACAAGAATTGCTGAGTGGTTTCTATGAATTTAAAGAAGCAATTGCTGAAGATTGCGCTGGAAATTATACAGTCGGTTAGCTTCGTTCAATTTTTCACGAACTCAGTTTACTTGTATGCTTTCTCTTGCAATTTTACGGAAGTTAAGTTTAAAATTTATCGAACTTTGTGGAATCATTCATTCTGCGAAATTCTTTAAATCAATAATTTGCAGGAATTTTTACAGTTCTAAATTTTTACCTCAATTTCAGCGTTTTTTAGCTCAATTTTTACATTAATTCTTTACCTCAATTAATTTTTCCCTTTAATTTCTAATTTTTTTGCCCCTTTTTACCATAGCCTAGTTTTTTTACCTTAATTTCAGCGGAATATGACCTCAATGCTTTATTAGGTTAGAGAAATAGCTAAATGAATTCCGAAGAGAATGAACAAACGGATATGCTAATTATTAGCTGATCTAATCAACTTAATCTAGGCTTGTTAACTATTAGCTGATCTAATCAGCTTAATCTAGGCATGCAAACACAACATGTGCATTCACCTACTTGGAAATCTTTTTTCCAAGTAAGTAACCGAGAATCTTTTTTTCAAGTACGTTGAATGCACGATCAAACGTTATTACACGAAGGTATTTAGCAACTAATATAAAGTATTCATTTGTGAGAATTAAGAAGTAAGGTATCGATCATCGATCAAATGATACTTATAATCTTTTTTAGGTATGTATTCTTGTATCGATGTTCTCATAACATTCACTGGTGCTTCGTCCGAATCGTTTTGGCGCATTTTCATTCCATCAATACTTTTGGTAAGCATTACAAATTCAAAATTAATAGTTGAAAATTGCAATTTGAAAATTAAGTTATCAGTTTTTATTTATACAATATTAGTTATTCCTTGATTAATAGTTAATGCAAAATTTTCCACCTGCCCATCGATAAAATAATTAATATCTATTGACAATTAATTTTTTAGACAGTTGGATATCAACTATGCGAAATTAATACTTTGCATATGTTGTTTTGTTTACTGTTATCTTATCTTTGACTTTTGTTCAAATCATAAAATTCTAATTTTTCTCATAAATTTACAACCTCTGAATTCACCTTTATTTCTCATATTCCATATACCAACAATGTTTTAAGTTCATTTGAAATTATTCCATTTTTCTTCTAGATATTGCAAAAAATTAAACATGAAGAAATTGCGGCTGTTTTATTCATAAATTATATTTATTTATTACAATTTCACATTTGGTTGAAAGAGTCTTTCGTTGATTTAAACAAAAGTCATTGTGAATTTGTTTTTTTGTTCCGAAAATATTTCAATTTATATTTGTCCGAGAGAAAATGCAGACGAAATTATGAAAAGAAATTCTGTTATTTACAAATCTATGGGGTACTGTATGGACTGATCAAATAATATTAATTTGTCCGAATAGAAGGATGTTAGTGCTTTATGAAAATTAAAAGCACATTTTTAGAGCTAGATGTGATTTACAAAAAAAAAAAAGGAATTGAAAAATGTGGTAAAATGTGGAATTTTTACGAAAAATAACAATTGAAAATATTATTAAGCTGGCGTTCCATTTCCTTTATTATATTAATATACTTTTTGAAATTGAATTATACTTACAGATATTAGCATCATGGCTTCATTTTTGGGTCCATGGTTCATGGTCAGTTCCACGAACAATCAGCGCTGCGGTGCCGTTCTTCATTTTTGCTTCTGTTTTGGTTAATTTTTATTTTAATTAATTTTTAACTATCTCTTATTATCATGATTACAATTATGATTGTGCAGTTATTTGTAGAGGTTAGCATTGAATGATGTTTAAAATATATCGATAAATTGATAACTGTGATAAAAATCATCGACCTTTTGCTACTGCTATCCAGGCCTATACTTGGATACTTTATAGATATTCTATCCGCAGCCTAATCTATCAACATATGGTGTCAGTAGCTTACAAATATGGCTTATTTTCTGTCTTCTTTTGACATTCGCATCATTGGTTGAATATTTCATCGTTATTTGTTGTGGAATAAGAAGGACCATTCGGTATAGAAATGGAAAGATCATGAAAGACGATGAATCTCCTCTTACTGTCACTAGAGAAGTAAGTATATTTATATCTACTTAAATATTTATTAATTTCAATCTGTTTCATTTGCTTTCATTTGTAGATTAACTTTATTATGTTTTACAAGCCTTCGTTAGGACTTTATTTTATGAACTTTTAAATCACATAAAAAATAGAAATAACGATTCGATTCTTTCTAACTGATTGAAACAATCTGAAAATTACAAAAATCTACAACGATGAATTAAATCAATAACAGTTGGATCAAATTATTAATTCTGATAACCTTTTGATAACTTATCTTTAGACGGTGGAAGTTGCATATGATACAAAATGCGCCAATTTCAAGCACAATCACGGTATCGACCTTGTTTCACGCTTGCTCTTTCCGATCATTTTTCTTATTTTCTTCATTATCTTCATAATTTTTTATTTGATATAATTAATTTAAACATTCGTCTTTCAACCTTTTCCTTTCTCATCATTTATACCGAATATACTATGCAACGATATCGATTTTGCTTCAATAAATCAATGAATTAAGTGTAACTTTATTAAGCTCATCATCTTTAATTATGAAACATGCCAGTATATTCAAAATGGAAAAATAAATTTCAAAAATGTTGTAAACTGGATGTTTACAAATTGAGAAGAAGAAATGCCAATTTACATCTCTCCATGCTATTATCGAGCGGAAAGAAGCATTGCTTTACATATGCTCAGAAAAATACCTAATATACTTAATTTTGTTTCAATGAATAATTAATTATAGTGTCATTAATCACAGTCGGTTAAGTTACATTATTATTTTGATTAAGTTACAAAAACATGCCAATGTATTCAGAATAGGAAAACGACAAAAAGCACAAATTAGTGAAAGATTAATTTTTCTTGTGAAAAGAAAATGTAAATTTATTGAAAATGATGAGATCCAAAGAGGATTGCAGTATTTCCCTAATAAATTTATCATCGAATTGAATTTTCTTTTTTGTTACCATACAAAACAGACAGTTAATTTTATAAAGGATTGATTTAATCTTTCTTATTTAAAAGAAAAGAAAAAACTTTGGTTCAATTTACTTCTTCATGATAACTTGAAATATAGCAAAAGTAGAAAAAGTGAAACGAAGACAATGAACAGGAGAGTAAGTGTCGAATTAAAAAAAAACTTCTCGGGATTTTTAATGCCATTCAGGTGGTGGTTTACCTACATCAACATATAAGTGATAATACAAAGGACGTCGAATGATCTGAAATTAAAATTCCTGCTATTTTATTGATAGTTCAAGCAATGATTTACTTCTAAAATAACAGAAATCTACTAAAAAGAAATGATGAAGCTCTGTGTTTGAGCCTTTTTACTTGGCTTACATATTCTTGGCTCACACAATACTCGAGGAATGCTACTTTTGGCCACTTCTATATCTCCTTACAGCGACGGTTGATGTGAATGAAATGTAATGCGATAATTTCTAACATAAAATCCACACTATAGCTATATTAGCCTATATTAAATCTAATTAAGCATTTTAGGTTTATGTAATATTACGTATAAATGTATACCTCAACAACCCTCCACGATAACTTTTTCAAACCATCCCATTGCATACGAATGTGAGAAGCTTTCAGCATACGTCTACTAAAAGTGAATTCAATCGGTTGATAATTACCTTTAATTATTTGAAAGATTTAGTAATTCTTAAATAATTACAATAGCGTTATTTATATAAATAACATTGTTTGTTGTAATTTTTGCATTAATTGCAGTTTTCTTATAAAAGTTAAAGTTCTATGACCCAATCATACTAACATTAACTGGTTATTGGAATCTTTTCGTTTGATGTGCCGTAACATTACATATCGTCCGATGAGAACATCCGGTCGTTCAATTGTCATATTCAAAGTTAAGATACGTATTCCTAGAAGATTTGAACTTTTATTGTCATTTTACTCAATTATTCTATCCAAATTGTCATGCTAAAAACTTTAGAAAGGAAGGAATAAGTTCAGTTCAGTTCAGATTTCGAATAATTTGTAATTAGCAAACAATCATTCGTAATGAAAATAAAACATATTCTCGTATAGCTCATTATGTAAATTAAACAGAGCCATATTTGACAAAGACCAAAGATTGTTCCTTTTTTGTAATTTCTTCAAAATGAATGAGATTATTGTAATTAACCCTAACCCATATCATCATCTTCACCGCCCCAACCCCAAAATTCATTGGAAAATCCGTTAACAGCACGAAAATGATTCATACGAATTGCAAGCACACCTCCGACTATTTCATCATACATTAACCTGAAATTGCCGAGGTAACTTATTAATGATATATCGCTTATCTTTTTGGTGCATTAAAATTATCGCGATAACTGCGATCAATAATGATAGATTGGGTAAGTCTTAGTATGAGAATAAATGACGTCTACATGAATTATGTTCAATTCTGAGAAAATTTTGGATTAAAAGTAAGACTAGACTTAATTACTCTATATGGGCTCAGTTTTGGAAAAGTAACATTTGAGGACATTTGGAAACATGTTGACAAACTTGAAACTAGTTTAAAATCTTATGGATAAATTCTAATTTCGAAAACATAATTGAATATGCAAAAGTTTAAACTTTAAAATACCAATGAAAATATTTTATAGGCATCCTAAATAAGAAAATCTGTGTTCGAAACTTTGTAGCATGATAACTCTTTTGCAAGGTTTTGTTTTGTCCTCAACAAAATGAAACTTGTCCTGTCATGGTCTCTGCAGTAAATTTAAAGCAGTAAGAGTATAAATGGATGCTTAGTGCACAATTCCGAATTGCATCAAATGGAGGAGATCTGTTCAGAGAAGTAACCTGTAACCTAAGGTGTTAACATAAGCCCCGATATGTCGCGGTGTATCAGGACAACCGTAATTAATACGATCATCTGCTGGGAACATGTCAACATCATGAAATATTACACAATCTACTTGCAGTTTTTCCGCAAAGGAAAATGCTGCATTCATTAGTTTTCCCTTGTTGAACAATTCTTTTCCGTACTGAAAAAAAGCAAGTATATTTGAAAGGTATAAGGGAATTACAGTAAGTCTATACAGTGGTTTAGAGCCAAATTATACATAATTTCCGGTCTGGAAATACATCGAATACATCAGGTTTACATGGAACTAATGCATTCCTATTTTCAAAGATATTTGGAATTTGTATATGATTTGGTTATGATAATTAAACTTGAACGAGATATGTTATAGTTTGTTGAGAGAAGTAAAATAACTTCTGACCTAACTTTTGCGAGATCTTATCTTGACTTTTTCTTTTTTTTGGTGAACTAATAAATAAAGAAAACATAATTTAAACAATACAATTTAACAGAATAAGTTACGCTAAGCCAGCAGTACAAACAGTAAATTTTGAAGTAATTAATGAGGATTTAATAGAACTTCAATAACCTGTTCAGTAACGATGAATCGAAAATCAAGATTCTGATGTCTCAGAATTGGAAACAGGAAGTCCAGCAATCGAATTAACTGTGATTGTCGATCACGAAATGGAATTATTATTGCTATCTGTAAAACATTACAAATTGACATCATATTCCTATAATCTGATATCTGAAACATCAATTCGGTCATTCGTCCACGTGCTCGCACGTGAAACATTTGATGGAAAGTGTCAAGCAATTTTGATATGTTTATGACATTTTATAGAACCCCAAATATGTTTTTTTTTATTTTTAAATATTCGTGAAATTACATTTATTGGTAGTTGAGGAAGGGAAAAAAAAACTAACTATATGCCTAGCCAGACAGTTTCTTGGTTTCCAATGACCACCAGGCATGATATATGAATGTACCTGAGCTACCTCTTGCTCTTTGAGATTCTCTATCAGTAATACACCCATTGATATTGATCCAGCTAAAAGAGTGGGCATGATCAATGTAAACTTTCTCTTTGATAATCTCATTTATGATATGAAAATTCTTTTCTATAAAATATTTATGTATGATGAAGTAGGAAAATTGCAAAAATTTGCCATAATGGAAGGTAATTAATTGATCTGTGAGCCCATCAAATGATATAATTATCACTAAGATATAAGAAGACAAAAGCACTTCCGCCATTTATTCTTTTACTTCTTGCAATCAAACAGTCAAAATAAGAAATTCATTGAGAATAATTACTAACAGAAATTTGTAATTTCATCAAAAGTAGGACAGAAATTCGAAGCATTCATTTGATCCTCCCTTTTAAATTGATCAGTTTTGAAAGGCATTTCAAACTTATGATTTATGAAGCGTGATACTGGTGTTTGATGGATGATAGATGACAACAAGAAGAGCTTTGAGAAATTCCATCCTAGTACTGATGTTGAAGTCCTGCGAAAATGAAGTCGTCAGGAACCACTTGATCTTTTATCAGTGGTGACACATCGGAAAAAGTTTGCAAAATCAAAGCAAATTTCTTCATATTAATAGATTTGGAGAAATTTTGAAATTACAAAATTTGCTAACATTTTTGAAATTTAATAAATATTTTTTACCCAAACTTTTTTTTACTCTTCCGAGGACATTTTTATCTCTTTGCATTTGAATTTTGATAGCATTTGAAAGATACGCTAATATTTTTTTTTTTTTTCATTTTTTTGAGCTTACCAAAACATCGGCAGTGTTTGATTTTTGAATTCACCTTGAACCATTTTTTATGGTTTCATTATTCATTTCTCTTTTTAACACTTCTTCCTCCGTATGTACTTTGTAATCATTTTTTATTTTGCTAAAAGATTCGGTAATAAATTTTGGCAGATTTTATTAAATAAAAACCTCAAATTATGGGAATTCTTGTTTTCTAGAAGAGTTTTTGTATCTATCGATTCTATGAAAATTTTTAAACTTAAAAAATAAGCAAAATTTCGTAAATTTAAAAGACGTCTTTTGTTTTAACTTGTCGTACAATTTTATTTAATGGTTTTATTCAATTCATTTTTCATTGGTCGTTGCAAAATTGTTGCTTATTTTGGAAAATTTCAACCTTTTTGTTCTTTTCT